ATATTTTAAACCTGTCTACAGTCTTCCAGGTGACCTAAAAGGCAGAATTTTGTGGAAAAGGACAGGTTGCTTTGTGAACTAATGGTGACCACTGTGTTTAGAGAACATGCACCAAATTCAGCCCTTTACATTTTCCACTTGTATGTCTTTAGGCCGACCATGACAACACTCACTTGACTGAACTTTTTGGAAGAGAAGTAGATGGGAGGGTATTGTTTTCGCTGACCAATTGCTATGGTCTTCTGGGAATTGCCATCTTCTGCAGTGTTCCCCTCTGCTCCTCGGTGAAACATGTTTAACTCATGCAAATGTGCATGCCTGTACCGTACTGTTTTATTAGAACAATCATACAACCATTCGATCACGCACAATTTGGCAGTTGGATAAAGTGTGAAACAGTAAAATCTCTATGAAGATTTTCTGCTGTATGTGTCCCCTCTGAAGAGAGTCATCCTCTCTATTTGCCCTGATGACCATTGGCGTTGTTGCAGAAAGTGATGGAAAATAACAACTTTTGAAGTTTGCCAGTGGAACAGAAGCCAATAGGAAACCTTTCAATAGGGACACCTCTTCCAGGACAGCTGTTTAAGAGGGATTTTCTATTCACTTCCTGTTGTGTCTCCAGGGCAGAATATGAAAGGAAATCTCTCCAATGGGGCACAGACAACAATAATAACCTGATAGGGGTTCTTACCCTTCCTTACTTTTTCCAAGATTTAAAATCACTACTTGGTGAGTCATCTGCAACAAGTAGGCAGATTGAGACTTCCAATATCATCAGCTGCCTGTTTGTTTAGGTCAATGCCTCACTAAGTACTGAGGAAAGAGGATCATCATCGCAAAGAAGCAGGATAATCTCAGCCTAAATATCAGTAGGTGCTAGTAAGCTCACAAGCCCTCTTCTGTAGGCCTTGAGGACCCTTGTGCACGTGTCTGTAGGGGGCTTGCCTTCTCTGACTTTGTATAAAAGCCCTGCCTGTGAGGGAGCCCCTCTGCCCTGTTGGTTGAAGCATAGCTTTCCCTGGATAATGAGCCTTTGGATGGAGCCTAGCTTTGGGTGTATGGCTTATATCCAAAGCTGGAGAAGTCACACTTCCGAGTAACGAGGGCACAAAAGGGCATTATTTAGGTTAATAAGGGTGATACTAGGAATGTTGAGGTGTCTGTTATCTTGAAGGAATTTACAGACACACTCAAACATAATACCCTAGCCAACAAATGCTGATCTTTGTACAAACATGGAGTTTTGCATTGGGGAAACGTGCATGTTTTTGCCTATGAAGGAGTGCTTTTGGTGTCAACCTGTCTCAGAGGAAACAATAGTGACTATCATGAAAAATCAGTTTTCTGGAAGCGTCTGTAAATATTCAAACATTCCCCAATCTGACTGTCAATGGCCAGATCAGACAAATGTTCTGTAATATGTAGGCATATTTCCATAAAAAAGGCCAACAGGTTCAGGCTTAAAGATCTCATATCTTGTCATTATAACAAGGTTTTATTTAATAAAAAAGTAAAAAAGCAATAATAATGCACAGTGAGCAGTAGCTTTCAAAATCCAATCAGATTTCAGGTTACTGTAGTTAGGTCAATTAAACATGCAAACTGTCTATTAACAATGAGCTACTACAGTTTGCACCTTGCTCTAGGCTTTATTTAGCAATCCTAAGGATGGAAGTCAGTCCTTACGGATGTTCTCTGCACAGCATTACTGAGTAAACCCGATTCTGTTGTTATACACAAATATTTTTCATTGCCATTAACCAACCAAGAAATTCTATACGTGAACAAGAAAATTACACATGATTTCATATTGCATCTAAGATGTTTTCAAAAGTATTTATCCTTTAGTTAATTAAAGATAATGATATGCAATTAAGATCCATCTTCTTTATTATGTCTTCTTTATTTTATAGCATATTGATGTTCCAGTTGCTACTTTCATTTATGATATTATCTCTTTGATTCTGTTTTCCATGGCACACAAACAAATGCATTGTTTCCTGCCAAAGGGAGCATGTTTTTATTATCCTTCAGTGTATATTGGACATGTTAGCATAGCTCCAGACACAGAAAGCCTTTTATCATTGTGAGCCTGCAGGCAGCTCAATGGCAGGTGTATGCAAACAGTGGAAACACACACTCAATATCCATCTTCAAAGCACTGTGACAAATTCTGAACAGTAGATACACTGTCATTTTCTCTTCTACATAAGTTATTAAAAAATCCATACCAAATTAATTAAAGTGGAAGTTCATCCTAGAAATCACGAGTGAACCTTAAATAGCCATCTAACACATATACCTTGATATATGCATACCACCATGATTGATTTCTGTCCGTGCTCCGGTTATCTAGCAATCAGCATTGGAAAATTGTGGCCATTTACTAGCGATGCCATGTTACTCATGGTGTCACTCAGCCCCCCATGCTATCTAGGCTTTGTGATTGCAAAGCCTAAATGGGAAATGCTTCCTCTGTGCCCTGTCAATGAGATATATAGCACAAGCAGTTGAGCGACACCATGAGCTGCATGTTGTCTCTAGAGAGAGGCAGCAGTTCTCCAGTGCTAATTACTAGACAGAAGTCAAACATGGTGCTATACATTTATCAAGGTACATGAGTTAATGACTGTTTAAAGTTAATTGAAGACTTCTAGAATGCACTTCCACTTTAAGAGTATGCTAACTTGCTGTATCATCTTCTTACACCATTTGCATGCCAAATTACAATTTTAGAATGATAAAGGTGAAGCTCTGATGATAGAGATATGGGGGTTTCCCTTTCTGGGATCTGCTTCTGAAAATTGTATTTTCCTGACTGCCATGCTGATCCTATTGGAACTTTGCAGTACAGCCAGGTGCACAGAGCAAGAACACAGGTCTACAGTTCAATCTTGCCTAAGAAAACCCAACTGATGGCTTAGCATTGGTCCACGTTTCCAAGCTGTTAGACCGGAAGAAAAGGTCTAACCCTGAAACACATTGGATACTTTCCCTTTGCACATTTTTTGAATCAATAAGATTGTTCACAATCAGAAGTTACTTCAGTATGATAAAAGCAGAACACAGACCTCTTAGATATCTTCTCCTGCACAGCCCTACCCCTAGCCATGAAGGACTGAGGATTTATCTTCTCCTAGACTAGTTACTTGGACCATTTCATAGGATCTTTGTGAGTCTAATACTGTTTTGTCACTATTAAAGTTTATCCTAACTTTTATTATATACTCAGTTATGAATCACGCTTGTCTATTGTTGATGTGATGTAAGATCAGTGCTAATTGATGCTATCCACATATCCTTGCCTGGCATTACTGAGCCCCATTTTTTGCCATAGTAACCTCTACATATTGAAATTTGAGCACAAGTTATCCCGTTTTTTTTTTCATTCTGTGGACATACATTAAAATGTATTTGCGACTTTTCTTCACAACGTTCCTCACCCACTAAGACAACCATCGCAGAGATCCTATGGCTTTAAATTCTTCTAAGCAAGCTGGTTAAGAGTTTTGGTTCTGCTCTGACTTCACTGGTTGCATTTTTTCTGTGTAGCGAAGCCAGAGACAGCCATAAAAAAAGCATTTTCAGAAGCAGGTCAGCAATGAGAGCCTCCACATCTCTCTTAATACATGTTGCCTTCAAAACAGAAACGTTATTTAACGTGAACGGTCTACTGATGGCATCTATAAAAGTACCCATATCTGTGCCAAAAACAGCAAACTTATTATTTCTGTAACTAGATTTAGATATTATTGGAAAAGTATTAGAACAGTATTAAAAGTAAAAGTAGGATGAACCTGATGGTGTTATATATATTACATCAACTCAATGAAAAAATAGATTTGGGAGGAGGTCTTATTTAAAGTAAACTTATCTGTAACAGTACTGAAGAGGCCACAGCACTACAATGCAGGTGTCCTCTCATGAGTCAAGAGTGCCCCCATTCTATAACGCACAAATGTCAACACTTGATGACATCTTGATGCCGTTATCATCTTCTGCATACTCCTTATTGGCCCATCGTTATGATAGGTTGCTTTACAGTCCAATAGAAAGGTCTAGGAGAAAACAGGCAACTAGGATTCTGGAGATGTAATGTAAAGGTTTGTGCAGGCAGTGCTAGATGAATTATAGTGTTGTAACTTCCCCAGTATCTGCAAGGGTATAGGAAGGTTTAAACTTTAAACAAGGTGACTTAATTGTACTGCACCTTCTTAATATTTTGTTTTATTTAAAGCTGAACTCAGGAATTAGATCAAATCTACCCTTGCAGTAAGGCCCCCCTGCACTGTAAGGGTTGACTGCTTCTTTATTCTAGGGGTAGGTAGTTGAGTAGTAATACTTACCTTATTCCCCACTCCAGCAGACTATCTCCATCTGTCCCACTGGCCCAGCGAAACCTCTTCTCTAATGTTCATTGCCAACTTGCCTCTTACATATACAATGCAGGGTCAATAGACCCTTGTTGTACGGGATTATGTTGAGGGACTACCCACATCCCAGAGCATCAAGGCTAGAGCAGCAAGATGGACAGACTCTTTACCTTCCCCTAGATTTAACAAGCTTTTACCTCTTGCTGTTCTTGGGGGAATAGGGGGGGGG